TTGAAATAATCAAGCTTTTCTTTGTGGCCATTTTTTTTTTTTCTTTTTTTTCGGAGAGGTTTTTGCTATAGGGTGCATGCGCTCGCCAGAAAGACAAAGAGAGACAGAGAGACAGAAAACGAGAAATCACCCCCCAGGGTGTATGGCCACGCCGCAATCCCTTCTCCTCCATTCTCCTCTCGGGATCTTGGGCACACACACACACACGCCCAGCATGAGTTCAAGCCACTGGGTCCGGGACTCGTACCACAGTTGACTACATGGGAGTCCAGCAACATAGCCATTACGCTAACTGCTGGTCCCTCTTTGTGGTCATTTTGTAAATATTCTTATTGATACATGAGAAAAATGTAGATTCTTTATTTGAAGGTTGCAATATTTTTCTGTTTATCTAAAAATCAGGTTTTGATGGTTATATTACTTGATTTTTCCGCGCTCTTAATTGTTTAGAATTGTCAGATTTGAAAAGATATATAAAAGCTTCCCACAATATTTGCGTTTTTAATCAATTTTCATTAAATTCCTGCCTTATAGCTACATAGAAGCTTATGACTGGTTATATGTTCTTTATAAATTGTGTCCTTTGCCCTTTTATCTTAATTACCATTTTAACCTAAGATTTCCTCCAACTGTGAACGTTACCTCGCTTTTCATCTTTGCTGTTGTTCATGTCTGGTGTTACCTAGTGCTCTGTAGGTAACTGGTCTAAGCCAACTGCCAACCCTGTGCTTTCAAAGTCTTTATTTAAAAGGCTGGAAGGAGGATTGGAAGGAGTGGATGAAAAACCCTATTTTCAGAAAAATGGGAATCAGATGCAGTTTGCAGACTCTTAAATATGTGCAAGGCTTACCAAAAGCAGTGAGGATTGGGAAGAAGTCATACAGGCAGAAGTGAACAGAAGAGCTTAGGTGGCAGAAAGTCTTGTTGGACAGGTCTGGAAGGCCCCAGCTGCACAGCCTTGTAGAATGAGAGGCAGAAGTCATATGCGAGGACTTCAGAAAGCTCATAGAGATACGGAATTAAAGTATGAGTGTGTTTCGATACAAAAACATTTTGAACTCCATGTAGAGCTTCTTGTAATATGAATTTTCTTTGAAGACCTCCTCATAGATGCTAAAATGCTGCCCACAGTAAGTGTGGAAATTCCAGGAAGGAGGGCTAGCGGCAAAGGCCTTCTTGGAGCCTGTTTTACTCAGAGGGGCTGCAGGGTTATCCCGGGATAGTACACGTGATTGTGTCAAGCAGCAGCAGGAGGGGAGGGCGTTGGACTGAGCAGCCTGGGAAGCTGCCCCGGTCTCCCCTCCTGTAGCCTCTTGCAAAGCACGTACCCTCTTTGGGTACCATCTCACTCAAAAATGAGTATTAAGAGAGAAGGTAACTGCAATAGCGTGAACATTTTCTAAAGAAAAATGCAGAAAACACAGCCAAACCTCCTGAGAGATGAGGGACACCAGAAAAATGAGTCTGTGAAGCAGGTGGAAGTCACAGCCAAATATTTCATCGAGAAGGAAAAGCAAAAAGCGGCGGCTGATGAAGCAGTTCTGTGAAGGAAGGTCCCATGCCGAAAGCAGGTGTTAGTATAACCAGGTGAGGCAAGAGGGGGCAGATGTGAGCTGGCAGAACTAAGGATAGACGTTGCCAAGAGAAGCAGCACAGTTAGAGTGTTGGGAATGACAGGAATGAGAAAAGGAATACAAGTGACACAGTAAAAGTAAGTTTAAAAGGATTAGAAAGAATTATAGCCATGGAGGATAGTAAGAGACATTCCAGCTATTTATAATTGGAAACCCCCTAAAATAAAACAAAACAATGAGCCCAAATAAGTATTTAAAGATAACATTTAAGAAAACTTTCCTGTGGTAAAAATAGACTTGAACCTCCGTTTTGAAAGGGCAAATTGTATGCCAGGGCAGACTGACCCAGGACAGCTGTAGTGTGCTGTATCCTAGGGAGTTGCTCAACTCTGACGATGCAGTTAGAATTCTTTCAGCATTCTTTCAGGTGGACCAGCAGTTATCGTAATGGCTATGTCGCTGGACTCCCATGTAGTCGACTGCGGTTCGAGTCCCGGACCCGGTGGCTTAAACTCATGCTGGGCGTGTGTGCGTGCGTGCCCAAGATCCCTA